TTTTTTTTTTTCCATTTTAATCCTCACCCAAGGATATATTTTGATGATTTTGAGAGAGGGAGTGGGGGGTGGCGGGGGAGAGAAAAACATCTATCTGTTGCCTCCCCTACATACCCAGACAAGGGATCGAACCAGCTACCTTCTGGTGTAGGGAAAGACACTCCAACCAACTGAGCCATGAGGCCAGGGCTTGATGGGTAAATCTACAGTGGTGTGCTTTGATTCCTTTTGCTTTATGTTTTGTGTATCTGCTATAGGTTTATGCTTTGTGCGTAGCATGACACATAAACTATCTTATGCTTATTAGTCTATTTTAAGCTTATAACAATTTAATTTAAATCACATTCAAAAATCTATCCTTTTACTCCCCTATATTTTTGTTTTTGATTTCACGATTTACATTTTTTATATTGTGTCTGCATGTCCAAATTATTTTAGCTAGAGTTATTTTTAATACTTTTTTCTTTTTTTTCCTCTTGGAGTTTCACTCATTAAATTTATGATTTCAATATAATAAAAAATGTTGCGACAGAAAAAGAAAACACACAATTAATAAATGTGTTAAACTCCTCCCTTCAGGCACTGAGTATTCAGTAAATGCTCAGTCATTGCTGTCCCATCATTGAGTTGGAGTTTACCTAAGATAAGTCACACACAGTTTTGTCATACTACTTCTTATTACAATAGCCAGAAGACTCAGCATGCAGGTTTAGGAGATGTCAAGACCCCTTCTTCAACTGTAGGAATGTGCCATCTCAAGACTGTTGTTTAAAAGATAAAGAAGTAAAAATGTAAAGAAAACAGAATGCAATTCCTTCATAAACTTTCCATGTCTCTTATTACCAATCACATATTCTTTGTAAATCCTGAAAAACTTCACTGTAAAAAAAAATTATGTATGTGTGTGTATAGTGTGTGTATGTGTGTGTGTGATGTGTGTACAGTGCGTGTGCGTGTGTGCATATAATGTGAGTGTGTTTAATGTGTGTGTATGTGTGTGTATATTGTGTGTAGTGTGTGTATGTGTGTGTATAATGTGTGTGTGTGTGTGTGTGTGTGTGTGTATGTGTGTGTAAAGGGCACCAAAAAGGGCTGCTGGGACCAGGGACCTTCACATTGGAGGGCACCTAGGTCACTTCACCAAGGGCAGCTTCAGTGCATCCCCACTGGGCCCACTGTCTTTACTGAGGGGCGCTGACAGCATAACACTTTGAAGAGTGTATGGCTGTTTCTAATTGAGAAGAATAAACAGGACAAACTTGCCCTCTTCCATCTTTCATTCCCTAAAACTGACCACAGTAGGAAGGGGCAGCCTTGAACCCTGGAATGAGGGGCTGGGATGGCAAAGGGGAGGCAGTTGGAAAAAAAGAACCTGGACAGAAACATCAACCAGGCAAAGGACCCCAGTAGGGGAGGAGCCACTGGACAGAACAGGGGCTGCAGGAGAGCAGGTGACCCACCATGTCTTGGAGCCACCAGCTCAGCGCTGGGGAAGTAAGTGTGGCACCAAGGCCTGGAGGTGGCAGGGCCCTGGGAGGACATCACTGAAGCGCTCTGATGAGGTACAGCTTCTCCCCATGCCCGCGGTGAGGAGGGGGCCTTTCTGTAGTGTCCATAGTGGGAAACTGCCGCTGCCTGATGCAGTAGACATGCTTCACAAGCTGCACCTTGTAATGTTCGTTCTTTCCTGGTGCTTTGAGAGACACATGACAAGTCACTGTGTCCCCAATGAGGATGTCGCCCTTTGGCACCTGGCATGGTGGTGTGTTATTGCCATAGTACCACTCTCTGTCTGCAAAGCACCCGCTGCCCCTAC